ACGTATTCTGTCATCATCAGGCACGTATTCCTGTCATCATCAGGCACGTATTTCTGTCATCATCAGGCACGTATTTCTGTCATCATCAGGCACGTATTTCTGTCATCATCAGGCACGTATTTCTGTCATCATCAGGCACGTATTTCTGTTATCATCAGGCACGTATTTCTGTTATCACTAGGCACGTATTTCTGTTATCACTAGGCACATATTTCTGTTATCATTAGGCACATATTTCTGTTATCATTAGGCACATATTTCTGTTATCATTAGGCACATATTTCTGTTATCATTAGGCACATATTTCTGTTATCATTAGGCACGTATTTCTGTTATCATTAGGCACGTATTTCCGTTATCATTAGGCACGTATTTCTGTTATCATTAGGCACGTATTTCCGTTATCATTAGGCACGTATTTCTGTTATCATTAGGCACATATTTTTGTTATCATTAGGCACATATTTTAATTATTAAGGTGAGATGGGTTTACATTCAGATCTGTTACAATATGCATATATTTACACTGTAACGTACAGTCCATCTAATGATAAGCAATGCATCAGTTACAGCCGAACGTTCACTATCATTGGACACAAATATGGATAGGAGCAGCAATAGAATCAGTGGTAAAAAGGAAGCTGCCTACATCATAAAGAAAACTCATTCAGTGGATTTTACTAAAACTCCCTCTAGTCTTCAACATCCAGTCTCATGGTTGTTTAGTAAAATCATATATTAAACGTAATAAAACCACACACTGATGATGTTTCATTTTACCATCCAACTTATTCACCTGCTGGGCACATCTTTCAAAGAAACAGATTTGTTTGATCATTTTAATACACATATTCATTAGAGTTTAACAAATATCTAGAATACATACCTATCTAAAGCAACATCAAGCTGATAAACCATGCCCTGTAATGTTGTTTGGTGTGTAGTTATTTCAGGGAAATGTTTACTGGCTGTAAATACCACAATGGCTGCACCAGTGTTATCTCTGGTAGGCTAGGAGAGAGAAACAGGTAATTTGTAAATAATATCATACACAGTCAAAGATAATACAACTGGGTCACATAAGACAGTAGAAGTCAAACTACTGCTTTTAAATCACAACATATTGATTCTATTCTTTGCTGTAATGTCATAACATTTTCCTGCTACAAGATCTCAAACTCATTCTTGACTGCAATTTTAATATCTTCCAATTATTAAATTTAAATGTTAATTAAAATACCAGGATGCAAGCATATTTCTAATACATGTTCAGGAAATTTCCTCGAAGACATGTTTTGGGAAATTCTAGGTTATTCTCAGCCTAATAATTAGGACTCTGTAGAGTATTGAACTTTTTATATCTCTTATGAAATGTTTTTACCTTTTGGACTGGTGTAAGACTTCAATACAAACTCATAAATAAGGTTATTAATTGTTTCAGCCTAACAATTGTTTACATTACCGAATTGTTTAGAATTTGATATCATACATGTTCAGGAAGTGGTTACTTTTTGTGTTAAATATTTAAGCTTAGAAATGACATTAAACAAGAAACAGTTTGCAACTTAATCTGTCATGTACGTCCACTAATCAAGACCTTCATCTCAACATCAACACTTGGCAACAAATTTCAAACAATAAGAAAATACGACAACTCATTTTAGCGAACCAGTTACCTAAGTACACTTCTACATCCCCATGGCTTGGCTGAGAAACCAATTCTAAGCTGTGCTTTTACCACACTTTTATATAGTTTGTTTCTAAAGACCATCTGAATAGCATCATTTTCTGAGGACTTTCTCGCCAAACTACAATAGTTCTGTTATTGCTACTCATATGTTCCAGAAATTACATTTAAGATTTGTTTACTTATAAAACATGTGATTGTTTTTACTTAAGATGATTTCTTTTTCTGGTGCTATGTTACCAAAAGACTTTAATAATATTGTTAGACAATAACTTCTTTATATAATGAAAGTCAATTTAAATTTTTCAACTATCACAAATAATCTCTACATTATTTTTGGTAGTTTTGGAAAATTATTAATAATTAACTTCCAATAAACTGCACAATATAGCACACATTTTTAGTGCCACAGAACAGACTTATGTACATAAAATAGACTTTACTTACCAAAACTGTGAACTTTCCTGTATCCAATTCACTTTTTAAAGGGTCTCTAGTTGGATCAAAAGAAACAAGGCCTTCTCTGTTGCGAATCATCTATTTTTAGAAAATAAACGATACAGCAAAGCAAGTACTTTACCTCAAATTAATATACAAAATGTTAATATTAAAACTGAGATACTATGCATAAAAAATTCCATAACCAAACAAGTATCAGGCTTTATTGATGTAAATTTCCTTCATAAAAATTGGACAAATATTTTAGCTCAAGTCATTATATATATAGTAATATTTATTTTCACAATATACGCTTCACGTATTTCTACCTATGGAAGTTATTCCACAACTAAAATACGTACAGAAACAAGTTATAAAAATTTCCTAAACAAAATACCTATTAGTTCATATTATGATGTTGATGCAATACTTTTAAAACTATTGTAAGAAACTAATAAAGGGAAATATCATTCATGTAACAAGGTAACATTCATCCATGTAACAAGGTAACATTCATCCATGTAACAAGGTAACATTCATCCATGTAACAAGGTAACATTCATGTAAGAAGTTTGAAAGACCACAGTACTTAAAACTTGATGAAGTACAAACTATAATCTAGACATACCTCATGTGCTTTGTACAGAGCTAATGATCGATGCACATCAAACTTCCTTGCCATCATGAACTTGACTGCTGTATTCCATGGCAACGGACCAGCGTTATGTATCAGTCTCAGGTCGTTGACAGTCGTAATAAATTCTTTGACAGCCTATAATTTGTTAAAAATAGAAAAAAATATATAATAGCCACCATGAAAGACAAGAAGAACATAAAGATCTGGAATATGTAAAAATCAGTCTATCCTGATTGGAGCATAAACTTTAGATCTGAAATCAGTCTATCCTGAGTGGAGCATGAACTTTAGATTTGAAATCAGTCTATCCTGTTTGGAGCATAAACTTTAGATTTGAAATCAGTCTATCCTGATTGGAGCATAAACTTTAGATTTGAAATCAGTCTATCCTGATTGGAGCATAAACTGTAGATTTGAAATCAGTCTATCCTGATTGGAGCATAAACTTTAGATTTGAAATCAGTCTATCCTGATTGGAGCATAAACTGTAGATTTGAAATCAGTCTATCCTGATTGGAGCATAAACTTTAGATTTGAAATCAGTCTATCCTGATTGGAGCATAAACTTTAGATTTGAAATCAGTCTATCCTGATTGGAGCATAAACTTTAGATTTGAAATCAGTCTATCCTGATTGGAGCATGAACTTTAGATTTGAAATCAGTCTATCCTGATTGGAGCATGAACTTTAGATTTGAAATCAGTCTATCCTGATTGGAGCATGAACTTTAGATTTCTCATTTTCAAAATTACTTTAATAATGATTCTTTGCACAACTTAAATATATGTACAGATGTCAGAGTTTCAGGTAAAAAAAAGATAACTCTCTAGTTTGACTATCACACAGATAAGAAAGGTTGGGTCAGCCTTATTTATTAATAAAACAACACTACTAATCATAATTTTGTACTGCGTGCTCTACTGAACAGAATTTATACCAAAGACATCGCAATTCTACCTGCACTGAATACCGACAAATGTGCATTCATACCAGGGACATTGCAATTCAATCTGGACTGAACACTGACAAATGTGCATTCATACCAGGGACATTTCAATTCAATCTGGACTGAACACCGACAAATGTGCATTCATATCAGGGACGTCGCAATTCTACCTGGACTGAACACCGACAAATGTGCATTCATATCAGGGACGTTGCAATTCTACCTGGACTGAACACCGACAAATGTGCATTCATATCAGGGACGTTGCAATTCAATCTGGACTGAACACTGACAAATGTGCATTCATACCAGGGACATTGCAATTCTACCTGGACTGAACACCGACAAATGTGCATTCATACCAGGGACATTGCAATTCTACCTGGACTGAACACCGACAAATGTGCATTCATACCAGGGACATTGCAATTCAATCTGGACTGAACACTGACAAATGTGCATTCATATCAGGGATGCTGCAATTCTCCTGGACTGAACACTGACAAATGTGCATTCATATCAGGGATGCTGCAATTCTTCCTGGACTGAACACTGACAAATGTGCATTCATATCATTCTTTATTGGCTCCTTCAAGTATTGGGATTTATGACTTTCTTTTAATTTTACAAGGGTCAAAGGTAAAAATAACCAAAAACTTCGTTTGCATATGTAAAAGTTATTATTATTATTATTATTAATAGTGTTTTGATACACAAGACATATGAAACAGGATATATGGTGTTGAAGTGGTTTTCAAATAAGACCCAAAACTCAAGTTCTTTCAAATAGTTCACTATTCTTTTTCAGGATAATAAAGAAGAACAGTGAACTACTCGAACGTACACAAATTTCGGGTCTCGTTTGAGAACCACTACAACGTTTGTATGTGATCCTGGGTGCCAACTTCTTAATCAAAATTTACGGTGTTGAAGAATGTCTTATTTGTCTAAAAGTTAAATGAAAAGTTTCTGTCATTGTGAATAAATCTGTTCATGCACAAAATGACTGTTCTATGTACTATCAGTTCAAATATAATCGTAAGCTCCAATACAACTCTCTCACAAGTACTTTAAGTATCCATTCCTCTGAAGTACACAAGTTGTAGTTTATATCACTTTCCCCTACTTTTAATACCATTCTCTATATATATATACATATTCTGTACTCTGAGGATCTTAATGAATACTGAATAAGGTGAATGGGTAGAGACATTACATTTACTTGTAAATGTTGGCCTCCAGAGTTGTTGGCTTGGCTAATTTTATCCTCAATTTCAAGTTACCTACTTTAATTTTCTTTACCCCAGCTCTTTAAACTTCTTTCAGTGTTTATTCTCTCATTCTTTTATTTATTTATTTTCCTTTTGTATATATCATTCTTTCAATTTTCTATACAGTTTGTTCTGATGTTACAAAATCTTAAAATATATCTTATTTCTGAAAGACTTCTCAAACTTCTAGCTAATGTAGACTGATATTAGAACATGAAAAACTGCTAAAGTTGATAAAAGGCTATTCAGCCCACCAAAGTTACCCCTTCCTCCCATACACCATTCAAAATGTATAAAAACAGAGGTTGCTCTGGGCTTTGCCTTTGTTGGAATAAATAAATAATAATTAAAAATGTAGCATTGACAATGTTTTTGGCATCGACATTTAATGCCAGTGCAATTTGAACATCAACGTCTCATTCACATCGTAATTATATCATGAATAAAACTTGTTGATTCTTTACTTTGCACAATTTGTAAGTCTTCTGAACTTGTTTGTATTGCTATATCACACACACAATATATACACGAGTTCAAAAGTTGTCTTCTAGTCGGCTCCAAATTTTGAGAATTGGCAACAAAATTCTGATGTTGAAATTTATTTTACTCCAACTTTTTATGATCCACTTACATCTGCCAGTGCTAATCCAACAAAAGATAACTTTACACATAATTCTGATGTTGAAATTTTTTTACTCCAACTTTTTATGATCCCATCACATCCTCCAGTGCTAATCCAACAAAAGATTATAACTTCACACATAATTCTGATGTTGAATTTTTTTTTTACTCCAACTTTTTATGATCCCATCACATCCTCCAGTGCTAATCCAACAAAA